TGCTGAATCATAAACATCAGGATGAGCCAGGATTCTACTATTTTTTCAAAAAATGTGCAGCCAGGGCTAATAACCACTAGTTGAGGCACTAAACACAGAAAGACATTATGACTTGTTATGATAATTATTTTGGGTGGTGTTGATGAGATAAATACAAATTAGTTAATACTTTTTTTAAGGTTTTTTTTTTTTTTTCCCATAAGGTGTGTGTACTTGCTGGAGAGGAGAGAGTCAGAGGGAGATAGTGAAAGGGAAAATGAGAAATCATTCCCTGGTTGGGGGGGGGGGTTGGCAGTGCCACAATCTCTGCCCCTCTATTCTCCTCCTGGGATTTTGGGCATTCGCACACATGTGCCCAGTGTGACTTACGTGCCAACTGTCCTGAGCTCAAACTGCAGTTGGTCATAAGCCAACTGCTGGTCATATGCCATCTATTTTTCTTTTTTATTTACATGTTTTGTTTCATTTTCTTTTATACATTCAATCACATTATTTAGCTTACAAAGTGAATATTTCGACATGTGAACATTCCTCCATAGCCCAGTTGATAAAGCTATAAAAAAAGTCAGTGCCATTTGTTGGTGTTAGTTCTACCTGAAAACAAAGGATGGCTATGTAGAAGGTCAGCATTTGGACACATGGTTGGGACATACAGTTGAGAGTGAGAGTAACAATGCTTTACTCACGGAAAAGCAAAAATGTGCATTCAAGCAATATGAAACAAATGCCTTGTTTTAACAAATTAGCCATTGTGCTAACTTGAAATTATTCTTTACTCTTCTTCCATGACCATCTTATAGAAGTACATTTTCCCTCATTTTGCTAGTCTGTTTACTGTGATTATATGCAATTAATGTAATAAACCAGTATCAAAACACTTCAGTTTTCTTTCTTTCCTTTCTCCACTGCATTTTCAATTAGTGGTAGTTTATGTTATAGAGTACTGGACTTCTTTCTTTCTGTTAGAGAAGACACAAATTCTCTATTCCTGTTTCTAATCAGGATGAAAATATTCTGGAGTAAATTTAATGCATAAATAAATACAAGTTTGTTTTTTAAAGGACAGATTTTTCAGTTTAATACATTGTAAAATGCTCAATAGATATTTGTTTTATAAAACATAAATGCATCACAGGAACACTAGCCAAAAACGGGGACCTGGCTTCTGTTCGACCATTATGTGTACTTCACAACTAGTTGAGAAATATTTGTTTATAAAGTGAAAACAGTGCCAATTCTGAGATTTTTTTTTTTACTAAACTAAGAATATTTTAAAATTGGAATTATATTAACTCACTTTAATCTACTTTTGTTTATGTTGATCTATTCCAGTTAGCATTATTTTTTAAAAATTAATTTTAATTGAAGTGCAACAGATGTTTAGGAGATGCACAAATCATTTTACAGCTCATTGAATTATTACAAATTGAACAAACTCATTTCAAATAACCTACATATTATTATCACTTTAATAGATTCTCCAGACTACCTATTGAGTCATTGCGAGAGTCATGATACATTTTTGCATAGAAAAACAGAGAAAAATACATCTCGACTTTTCTGATGACCTGATAAATAAAAAAATAGAACATTACCAGCAGTTCAAATTTTCTTGTCATGTGCCATCACCTAATCACTAACCTGCTTTTTCTTCCCCCAAAGTAAATACTGTTCTGATTTCTAACACCACTGATTATTTTGTCTGATTGAGAGAACAGTAGGATTGTAGAGCAAACACTCTCTTATATCTGGCTTTTTCAACCTGATCTTGAATTTGTGAAAATGTATTTTTCTTATTGTGTTGGTTCTTTCACTTTGTAGTATACTAATCCATTTTATCACCGTAGAAAAAATGTATTTGTCCATTTATTTGTAAGCATTTTGGTATATTCTGATTGGGATATTACAAAAATTGCTCCTTTGTACAACATTTTTTTACATCTTTTGGTATACACTTACACACTGGGTTTTTTACTATAGAATGACTGTTGAGTCATAGGCTAAGAGAATGTGCAAGGTTCGGAGACACTTCTGAGTGATTTTTCAAAAGAATTGCTAACTATCTATTCTCTGTCAGGATGATATTAGACTTCTGGTTATAGTACATTCTGCGTAACCTGGCAGCCTTTTGAAGTTTAGTCATTCTGGTGGATGCTTTAAGCTTTATTTTCATGTCGATTCTATTTTTGAGGTTAAGCGTGGTGCAATCTATTTACCATACATTTGGATATTCTCTATTTTGGATTGTGTATGTCTTTTAATTATTTTTCAGTTGGTTGTCAGAATTTTTCATATTGATTTGACTTCCTTGATATTATATGCTTGTGTTCTTGATCAATTAGGTGGGTTACAAATATTTTTGTCCACACTATAGGTGCTACTGGTATCTTGCTGTATCATAAATATTTCTACTATGCTATTCTATGAAAGAGTTACTGTTTTTCTTTTCAGATTTCGATCTTTATTTCAAATGGAATTGTGTTTTGAATAGGGGTAGGTACCAATCACAATTTGTGTGTTTTCTATGTGTCTAACCAATGGGCCCTACATCATTTATTTTAAAGACCGCACTTTCCCCTCTTCTATGATCTGTTACCTTGTGATAAATCACATATACTTGCCTTTTACAACAGAAACTTGACTCCTATTATCACTAAATAATTAAGTGATTTAATTCTACCTGTGTTTAACCAAGGTCCCGTCTCTCCTGTCATTTCTTTCCTGACACAGATGCTCCTTTCACCTTTCTCATGATATAACCAGCACTTCTCATGTGATATCCTCCTCATCATATTTGACCTTTTTGGTATTTTATGCATTGCTTCAGATTCTGAGGACCTGGGAGATATTAGGCACTCAAGAAATACTGGGTCATTGGAAAAGTCATGACACATTTTTGCATAGAAAAAAATACTTTTTTAAATAAATAAAAGGATGAACGAACAAAATACAATTATAGTAACAACAGGATATGATTTCTCTCTCTTTTTTTTTAAGAGTGATTTTTGCTAGAGGGCCCATGCACTCACCAGAGAGACAGAAAGTGAGAAATCACCCCCTCCCAGGGGGGAATAGCCATGCCACAATCCCTTCTCCATTTTCATCTTGAGATTTTTGGCATGCATGAACATGCACTTGGCATTAGTTTTAACTCACTAGGTCTGGGACTTGAACCAGAGTTGACTACATGGGAGTCCAGCAACATAACCATTATACCATCTGCTGGTCCCACAATAGGATATAATTCCACATAACAAACTGACTAAACTCAAAATATGACAATATCTAGTTCTGGCAAGTAGATATAAAACTGGGAACAGCCCCCCCGCGAAGAGTGTAAATTGGTAGATTTAGAGATCCATACATGATAAAGTTGCGGATACATATGAACTTTGACACTTGAAATCCATTCTTAGATATACTTTAGAACAGCATTTATTGTGTTCAATATAAAATTATTTATATCTGTATTTTTAAACTACTTTTTAATTTTTTTTTTAAGCACCATGACTGGGACATGGCAAGTATTATATAAATAAGTACATGATGAAGCTTGAGAGGTAAGTAGGGGCTATCTTGTTTTAGGCCTTAGAAATCATCCTAAGTTTTAATAATTATCTTTCTCTAAAACAGAAATGACATCAAGGAGTTCTGATTTGCTTTAATTTTAGGTGGAACAAAGTGGATGCTTTGTGGAAAAGGAATTGAGGGACTGCGAAAGTAGAAATAACGGTTAGTAGATTTTTGCAGTGGGTTTGGTACGAAGGGATGCTGGGTTCGTTGAAAACATTTGGTAAGTGCACTGATACATGGTAAATGATCAATATAGTGCGTATTACTCTAACTGCTCAGATAGTTTCAGGGATACACAGTCATTTCTCACTTACTGAGGGTAGTGTTCCCACTCCCAATATTTTCTTCAAGTACAATGACCAAGTTATTTTCTTGAACTTTTGTCTTATCTTTTCTGGATTTAAATTTAAAGAATTCAACTTTCTCACTCTGTGTATTTGACCTTATTTCTCTACATTCTCACCATGGCCTTTTTGAATACTTGTATATAATCTCTATCACTGCCTTTAATCTGAGTCTCCACTCTGCTTCTGTCTTTGCTACTCTCATCTCCAATGCCCTCCTTCCCTTCTCCAACCCACATAAGATCTGATTATTTCCTCCAAGCCATGACCAACTTCTTAGCTTAGAGATTCTTTTTTAGTCTTTTTTTTTATAATTCGAAAAACATGATTCCAACAAGTTTACTTTCATCTTCATCTTTTGCCTCAGATCCTAACAGCTGAATTCACTCAGTCTCCTTACTTGTTACTTGCACAAGTTTCTGCCATAGACCCAGACCCAATAATGTTAGAGAAAAACAAAACAAAAAAAAATCAATCAGTGCTCTAGCCCCTTATCTTCCAGTGTTGAGAAGAAGTACTTTGTATGCTCATCTGCCACCTTGAACTAGATTAGGCAGGCGAGTTAGGAAATATCAAACTCTAAGCATTGCAACAGCACAGTCATGCACCGACCACTTTACTTGGAAACTGCTTTGCTGTGGCTCTGACTGTTGATTTAATGAACCCAATGCTGATCCCTGCACTCGCATGTGGTTGCAGAGTTGGAGCTCACTCAGCTCCTGCAGGACCCCCAAGTCGACAACTCTGTTAACAGCCTGTGTGTGACAAGCGCTTCTCGGTAGGCCTCCGTGTAGCCGGCGGTAATTAGAGGATACCTTTTGTATTGCTGAAGAGTATTTAGTTGATTCCTCCTTATATCCCAACAGATCTATTTTGTCCTTTTCATGCTTATCTTTGGAGACTGGATCTTTTCTGTGTATCTCAGCTCCAGGTACTAAGACTGCTGACTTGAGAGACCTTGACAAAGACTACAAGACTGTAGAGTTCTTAGTGGATTCTTGATGCTTATACTCAGTGGAAGCTGACTTCTCCAAAGGGCATGTCTAGTGCTGATCAAATCCTGGGCAGAAATTATAGCATTTGCATGGATAGGAAGGAAGCCAGGCATCCTTAAGGGCTTGGAGTCCTGTATCTATTGCTCCAGCACTCAACACCACTCCTGTCTTGTTAACAGCTATGCCTCCCTGATGCATTCTGAGCTAGTACCATGCTTTTAGTCTTTTTCAATGCCTTTTTTCTCCAGTATCTTTGATGGATTGACTTATAAGTATCTTTCACTCTGCTTCTACCTCCCTCACTATACTCTTTTTATAATAACAGCTTTATTGATATATAATTTACATATCCATAAATTGGCCACTTTAACATGTACAAAATCTCTCCCCTCTTTATTCTTAAGAAAAATGTACAATCATTATAGAATGACTTTAATTAGATAACTGTTGGATGAGTGACTGGGACAACCTCACACACTAAACTTAGCTTGAGACTCACTAAGTGTTTCCTTATGATTATTATTCTTCTTCAAATTTTATGTATTTCTTTCATCTATCAGTGAGATAAATGAGGGATGTTTTGGGACACAAAACTAGAACTTTCCACGTGGCTCAGCCTCACAGAGCTTTGCATTACTGCTGCACTGCAATCTGTCCCCTTTTTAGATTTGATTCTCATCAAGGGGCTAATAACACTTACTCCTTAGAGAGATTAAGAGAATTAAATTAGGACCAGAAAGAGTACACCCACTCCTAGAGCACACATCTCTGAGTAGTAAATGTTAGTAATAGTACTGCTAAGGTGAAGGGCGAGAAATGCTACCCGGTGTCAGCACCCACTTAGGAGACTTAGGAGGCTGCAGTCACATTTTGCAACAACAGATGGTGCTAGTCATTTTTAAATTTCTCTCCCTTTAAAAATATCAGTCACACTTAGATACAAGACAAATGGCAAATTTTTGTCTTTTAAGAAGATCTCTTTAAAGTTTTTTTTTTAATAATAAGAGGCATGTTATGATGCCAAAATAATAAAGAACTATCATATCAAAGAAGAACTTTATTTATTTGGTGTATCTTTTAGAAAACAGAATAAGTGTGAATAGGTTGAAGTGACTGAGAAGACTTTGATGCAACAAGAAAGGATGATCTAGTAGTGAGAGTCAACTAGAAAGGGAATGTTGAACCCTAGAAGAGGGGTGAACTCGTAGTCACTGAGACTGGAAGAGAGTTCATTTTCATTCATTGAATTTGATCTCAATGTCTACAGTCCTTTTATCTCAAAGATAATTGTACATACAAATGCAAAAGAGCAGAATATTGTATGAAATACAACTTAAATAATTTAAACAAACTTTGAAATTTTAAATAAAAAGTTAAAGATTGCCTGTTACAGATATTACTAACTATAATAAAACTAGGATGTAAACTCCAACAGGTAAAGCAGTTATCTTTTATTTATTACTATGCAGATCATCATTGCCCAGAAAATTGTCTGAAATTTGCTAATTGAATTCAGAAGGGCAATATTCTATCAATAAAATACATCTGACATTTTCAGTGGACTTAGAATGGAATCTAAAAACTATTGATATGAATTAGATAGAACATAAGTTTCAGCTGTTTGTTCCTATTTTGAGTAGTACTAATTTATTATTATTATGAGAAGATATCTAATTATTAATTTTAATCTGTTAAAATTACTTTCTGTCGTAGATATTAGGAGCTGAATTGAGCAAAATTAAGAAACACCCTTATCTTTTAACATTAAGTACATAAGTGAATGTAAATTTTTTTACTTCTACATTTAATGATTTTATGCAAAGTGCTAATTGATTTAATAATGATTTTGATAGGATTTTTTAAAAAAAAGATTTATTTTTCTATAGTCAACCACTGTATATCATTATAGCTTGTAAAATGAATTTTTCCAGCATGAATACACTGTATATTTAAAGTACAGTTAAAGGTATTATCATACATGTTATCAATAGATAATTTTCCATTTTTCTCTCTCTTAAATGTTTTGCTTCTTTCTGTTTCCTCTTGATTTCCTTCCTCTCACGCTCCCCATTTCCCACCCTCCTCCCACACTGTCTTTAGTATCTGCAATTTTTCTCTATGCCTTTATATTTTCCAGTCTTTCGATTTCTGTCATAGAGTGATAATCTTCAGTATGTATTAAGTGGGGACATACGATGTCTCTTTTTCATAGTCTAACTTGCTTCACTTAGCAGTAAACCTTCCATGTTCATCCACTGAGGACTTTTGAAATTTTTTGCACCTTCTATGTATCTTTATAATGATTCCAATGCACTTAAATTAATTCAATAATATAATAAAATGGAAATACAATTATCACTAACTCTACTGTATTTTTATTTATTTTTCTTTTTCTCTTTTTTTTCTTTCTTTATTTACATTCATTCACTGTACATCATTATAGCATACAAAATGAGATTTTTCCATTCAGAATACACTGTATATTGGCTCAATCAAGGACATCAACATATATGTTATTGTCAGCAAATAATTTTCCATTTCTTGTTTTCTGTATGTTTTGCTTTTTCTCCCCCATCCT